GACGGAGCACGCCGGGTTCTCACCGGACCAGGCTCTCACATCACCAAGCGCGAAGCGCCGTGAGACATTCGGCGAGTCGCATGAAGGGTGCGCTGCATCCTGCTAAGGGTTTTCGGCATCTTGTGCTTACTTCCTTGCATATGGATGACAGCTGCGTATGAATTAAATTTATTTTCTGGTGCTTTCACTTCCACAGACAGTTGTAAGCACTGTGTAACTGCCTCGAGGGTGCTTGACCATTTTAACACAACGTGGTGCGATCATCCCCCTTGCGCGGAGCGTTGTCGCACGGGGGTATGCCTAAAAGTTCAAGCAAAAATTACTCAGGATGTCACATAGCGGACAATTCGCACAGGGATGTGCATTTAATACCGAAACCAAACGATTTGATGAAGTCTCCACACAGGGGCCAGAGTCATCGCACAAAAGTCCACTGTTATGGCACCCCTGTGCGATGGAAATGAAATGGCGAATGTGTTTAAAAGACGAGTGCCAGGGGGTGCGATGACACACAATCTAACGGTATATGGCCGTACCCACAAATACCCGTGTTTCAAAGGTGATCCATACATAGGGTGGTGCCCCCAGCAAACTGACGGACCAGAAGGTAGGTTGGTTTCGAGACGTGTTCAAAACAGCTTTTCCTCGGTGTGTATCTGCTCAGTGCTGAGAGTCAGACGCACGGTCTAGGATTGCCAAACAGTGGCGGTGTTGGAACAATTGCATCAGGCGGTCGGTGATAAAAAGCACCATTATCAGCTCAGTTCCGCCTCAGTTGCAGCAACTGGAAGCAGATTGCATTGTTGACGGTTGTGAGGGCCTCAACCGGAACACCTACTGCCGTTTAGCACATCTTGTTTGACAATTGGCATGTGCTTAAGAAAGCACCGCACGCTCACCTCTATCCGAACAGAAAAACGTAAAACGACATGAAACTTTGCAATTATAAAATGCCTGGATTTATCCAAATGCGGCTCTAGGTAGAACTAAGCCAGAGGCTATAGACAGCACGTTCATTCGAGATTCTCAAGCAAACTCTCAAGGTGCTCAAATTCATTCTCGGAGACATCGAGATCAAAGCAACTTCGCACATTCCGCATTGTATTCCCCAGGCGCCGAACAGCTTTGAACTGCAAAAAGTCTGAACTTAAAAGAGCTTCCACTCGCTTTCATCCATCGCGGGAATTGCTTGACGACCAATATGCAGAGTTTTTGTTGAGTGTTCCATTGATGATGTGGATAAGGCGGTCCACCTGTCTTGTGAATTGGTGGATGTGGTTTAGGGTACATCCTCTACGCAATGTTCCGATATTTACAAGCGTGGAAAATCCGGTTCAATACTCGGCAAAGAATACATCTCTCCAGACTCAAGAATTACAACAGCAGAGGAAGCCCGCCAGGGACTGAGGGGGGGCAACCGCACACTATATCGGTCCTTACCCTCGAGCCCCACGCGGTAGATTTGGTCATCCAACGTAGGCAAGATGGTGCTTGCTTTTGCAACCTGTCTGAATTACGCACTCTTGTGGACATGCTGCGGCGCGGCTGCGAGTGACACCTTCTTTTACAAATTGTAGTTTTCGAATGTATCTCCTGCACAAAGCCCACGACGAAATTGGAACATTGCCCACGAACACACAATGCAGGGAGCCCTACGCAATGGATTTCAAGCGCTGCTAGGACGGAACGCATGGCAATGCAGCTATGGTCACACGAGCCTGCGCTTGGCCGCAATCCGGTACACAGGCTCCCAACGCCCTCTTGCAAACAGAGACCCATCACTCCAAGGGAAAGCGTTCTCTGACGCGCACCGATCTGAACGGCTTGTCGCTGGACACAACTAACGCACCTTCATCTGAGCGTCATTGGACCGGGGTGCCCCTTTCCCGGCCCGGTTGGGGCTTGCCTTGGCTCCCTCCGGCCTCCCCGCCATGTTACCCCGTTGCGCTGCCCAGCCGCGGAGCCAGCCGCGCAGCAGCAGCACGTCTCGGGTCTCAGGTCCTCTTCGACCAAGCTCCGAGCGGGTGCTGGTCAGTTTGCTGCCAGAAGGAAGCCCACCACAAGCAAGCTGTGCCACACGATAACGTCTACCTTGCGAGAGAGGGGCGAGAAGGCAGGTTTGGAACTGCAGATCGAGTTGGTGGGTAACGTGATGGAGAGAGGGACAACAGGTCTGCCTCTGCGCTGCTCTGCTGCTGACAATGATGCGCTCTCTCTGGACAATTTCTTATTTGCCCAATTGCCCCGGGTGAAGGTTCGCGTGTCGTTTCGTTAGAACCTGAGAGTCAGTCAGGGGAGTCTCAGAAGTGTCTCAAGTGCTCACGTGTCTCAGTGTCTCATTGACACAACCACATGCACACGATGCACTGTTGTTATGCATACCAGCGACATACCACGCACTGCTGTACTACACTTGGGGAGTACGAAGTGTCGTATTAGGATTCCTCGCTGTGTGTGCGGTTCGCCCAGTTTTCGAGTCTGAGCTGCACTGGATATTGGATCCTGCTCTAATGTATGTAGACTAAATAGTCATGTACCAATTTATCCTGTGCTGCAGTTCATTTCCCAAAGATCGCGACGTATCCCGGATAAGTCATTGTTTTTTTTTGTGTTTTGTTGTGCCAGTCCGTGTCCTCACTTCCTGAAGAGAGAGCACTTGGATGCAGGCCAGGCCAGAAATGGCCGCCAAAACCTCCTCAGAGATGATTCAGTAAGTTGGTCGCAACGTGCCAAAGCGCAAAAAGAAAAAAAAAACTGCATAAGAAACGCTGCATTGCTCGCGCCGGGTCCAATGAAAGCAAGAACTCAATGTCCATGGCACGTGCGGGTGTCCAATTCTTCTCGAAAGCACTTGAACGAGAGCATCTCTGGCTGGAAGCCGAAGGTCGCAACGTGAAACAGACGAAGCACCGTCCTTTCGCAAGTAACTAAGAGCGCGGGGTGTGCGGCCCGAGCATGACATTTTTGAAGCGGCAACGATACGGTTTGGGTAATGCTACATCCTCAGGAAAAGTACAAGAATACACACACAGAAAGACTTCCCATTCGAGATTTAACCGCAGTTTTGCGGACGTGATGGACGGGACGAAGATGATGGGGGTAGACAAGACTGAACACCACAAACCACGAGAGCAGACACCAGGATCCGGTGGCTCAGCCGCACCTTTCGGAAGCACACTACGGTACCCGGACGTACGAAAACGAGGCATGCGCAATCCCACGTCAGCCGAGCACATTGTCACTGCAAGCTCTCGCCGAGCAAGCTCTCTCATGCACCCGAACTTCTACTTTGGGGGGTCACGGACAGGACTTTCACCCATGAGTCACGCTTCTACCTGCACTCCGTGCGTCATTCAGCGCTCGGACAGATATCTCGACCAAAAACTCGATCAAGCAATCGCTCAAGAAGGTTCCGCGCGGTATTGATCATGGTACACGGCAGAAAACAGTGGCACACTGACAACAGAAGACAGGTACCAAAACTATCAATCACTCGCCCGACAGCGAACCACAGACCACATCTAAACAAAGGATTTAACAAGCAGTCTTGCCAAATGCAACAGTGCAAAATGTCTCCGAAGATCGAAACTTGAATACAATCTCGTCTCTGTCTTCACTCACTTCACGAACACACAGCGAACCGTCAATAAACATCAAAACCCGCTCCAAGGATCCATGCCATCAAACCCCTCCCCGCTACCTCCAAAGCCCCCACCTCCAGCTCCCGCCCCGGCAACAGCGGACTCCCCACCCCCCCACCCCGCCCTCCCCCTCTGTTGATGTCTACCCATTCTATCTGCCGCCCCAACCGCCGTCCTCGCTTGTCCGTTCCCACCGCCTACGCGCCCCCGCTGCTGCAAGCTGTAAATGTCTTCCAAGGATGCCTGCGCGATCGCCGGTCTCGGTCGATGTCGCCCAGAGATGAGTCGGTGTAATGCGCGAGATGCTCGGAAACCCTGTTAGAGAAAAGCGAATGTACGATGTGCATAGGGGGTACGGGTGGTGGATACTCTTCCGGTGGGTACCGGAAATAACCATATTGCAAGGAAACAACGTCGGCAAGGAAGGAAGGCAAGGAGGAGGCGTGTTTTCGGTTTCAAACTCGGTGTGTTCTGCGTCCAGCTACAAGACCGATCTAGGGAGGTACGTCGACGTAGCCGGCACAAAACGGCACTGCGCCTTCGCTAGATCCGACGACAACCTGCGCGTGTCAGGCAGGGCCGAGGCACCATGAAGGTGGGTTGCTGTGACCCGGTTCGGGCAGAGTGCGTCCTGCTTCAAGAGCACTACGAAAATACCACACAGAAACCCCACGCTGGATACACCATGCTCCTCCCACGACACACAAACTGCGGATAACGAACAACACAGGACACAAATCACATACAGCGACGGCAGAGTTTAACAGCAATGATGGATGTCTACCGCAACCCAATACCGCAATATAGAGAAAGTTCTGCCACTCACAGCGTAAGCAACGACGAGAGTAAGCGCAAACCGCAGCACTCTCAGTCGACTCAAGCGTCGCCGCTCTTCCTCTGGTGTCGGCGGCGGTTCTCCTGAGAAATTGCGGGGCTTTTGGTTTTTCGATTCAGGGGGTAGTTCTCGGGCTTTTGTAACTTGCTGAGGATGGGAAGATGATGTCCTTAATAGGTGCAAACAGAGCGTGCTTTGGCGGCCTCGAACACGGCGTAAACAAATACTACTGGTACTTTGAGACACTGCTGTCGGTTGAGAGTGAGCGTAGCGACCAGCTGCCAAGGAGACCAATCTGAAAACTCTACCGGGCACCAACCTAAAGCGGCGAAGCCCAAACACGGCATGTAACCAAGGATCCAAGAACTCACAAAAGAAAACAGGAGTGTCAGTCTGTCCAGAATTTCATGAAAAAAAAAAAAACGCAACCCATTACATCTCAAACATGACCTCGGAAGGGTTGCCTTCCCTTGCGATGTTACGTCGTTAACAAACGGTCGTTGCGCGTAGTCTACATGGCTCTCTACAAACCGCTCTGTCTTCGATTGACCGCAACGAGGCTGCCCGTTCCTCTTACCGTGTCTCGGGTGGCCGGGCGGGAACTCTCGCCACGGCTGTATCGACGTCAGGCTGTTGCCTATGTGTTCGAGGAAGCCCATCAAGTTCGCTGGGAAAGAATCCGACCACGGGCGGTCAAGAACAACATTTGACGGGAGAGTCAGCGACCATCAGGTCACACAAGGGGTACAGATGAAAACAATACAAAGGTGGTAACAGAGCTGGGTTGTTCTTACGTGCGCAAGAAAACGAATCCATGTTCCGATCTTTCTCGTCTCTAGGTACCGACTGCAACTGGCCTGGTCTGACTTTCCACAAACACTCTACAAAAACCTGCTTGGTAAATCTTAGTTTTCCTACGACCAGACTTCAACGCACTCGGACTCTTCGTCTAACGTTGCGCAAAAACAAACGCAGGCAGGCAGGCCATCTGTGACGGTGTACATCGTACCCCGTTGGACCGAATTTCAAAGCTCCGCTTCTCCGTAACCAACGCACCATATCTCTGTTGGACCGAACTTTAAGGCTGTATTGCTCCAGAGACGAGAAGGCGCCAATGCCGAACGACACCTATTCGGACAACCTTCACCTATATGAGATAGTTCCGAATGTCGCCCTTTCCAACGACGGCACCTCTTCTCTGGTCGAGCAATTGAGCTCTGAAACTTGGCTCCAACGCACAATTCTCCCACCCTCCCCGCGGGAGCTTATTTTGCCCCATTTTTACGGTTACAATGTACCACGAGGGTCTGATACACAGCAGCAAACGATACATGCGTGAGGCGGGGGAAGCGACTCACCGAAAACGAAGCCGATCGCCTGGGTGTTCATCCCCAGCATCTAAAAACGCCGACAGAGACACATACAGAACAGAAAGTGGAACAGTCACGCACGCACCATGATCAGACGATGAAAGACACCGGTCAGCCATAAATGGCGATAGAGGCGTCGTCGAATGGCAACAACAGTGCAGCGAGCAACGTTGAGCAGGGTCCCATCTGTCGGACCTGGACGTTGACTCCCCCTAAGAGTCAGGTGTGAGAACCCGGCGTGCTCCGTCCCGGCTTCGTAGGGATGCGAGATCAATGGTCTAACGACTACGGCATGCACGGCTATGAGTACCCCCCCCATACGGGAAGATGCAGTGCGTTGGCCTGCATGTCCCCCCAAATTTTCGGGAAATCAGCTCCTGCTGCATTGCCATCAATAATCTGGAGAATAACGAAACAAAGAAGACCCCAACCTCTGTCAGGTATCCCAAGGATGAAGTGAAGTGCTGGATGCTGTGCAGCCATGAGTACTGGTGGTCCATACCGCCCATGCCCATGCCCATCCCCATCCCGCCCATCCCATATCGGCTTGCACCGTACATCCCTCCCCCGTAGGAGCCGTAACCCCCGCCGTACATCGAGGACATTCCGCCGCCGTAGCCGCCACCGTATCTGATTTGTTTTCAGGAAGCGACAAAAGAAAGGAAAAAAGCGTTGGGGGAGGATGGTATCGATCAAAGGTGGAGAACGACGATGCGATGTGACTGGTCGAGATAGCGGCACGAACAAAAAACTCTACATCACAACTTTTACCCATAAACATACAGGGAAGGCGCGGTTAAACGCCAAACGCATCCCGTCGATGTTGTCCACCTATAGGCTTTGCGCTCGAAAGGCTGACGGCGAGGGAGCGGCGACATTGCGATTGTACCTCGCGAGCTGCAACGTGGCCAGCCAGTTTGAGAGAGCTCAAAGACAATCAGATTGCCACATAGCGCTTGTGCTGACTTTGAGCTGGTTCTAAAATGCCAAAGGCAACAGAGAGCATGGCATCTGTACCTCCCCATGTGAGCATGGGAGTGTGTGGTCTCTCAACACATACTGGCCCTCGACCTCCACTCAGCACCCTGGGCATCGTGCTCTAACCGAAACGATGGGGTTACCAACGGTCCGGTTACCTCAACGATGGTCGGCTTCCCCTTGCACTCACCCTCCGTACCCTCCATACCCTCCAGCCCCGTAAGAGCTCCCGTAACTGCTCCCATAACCGCCGGCGCCCCCGTACGCGCCCGTAGTTCCGTATCGATTCGCTGGCCCGTAATTCCCCGCCGTGGACCCATACCCGCTCTGGACGCCTCCGTATGTCCCGTTTCCCGCTTGCTGTTGTTGCTGATGCCCAACAACAGGAGCAGTCGACGTACCGTTGGCCAAGCCGCCGTTCGCTGCGGTCGCACCTGCTGCTGTTGCTTCTGCTGCCCCCACATCTTGCTGCGCCGTCGAGACAACAGCAGCGGCGCCTTCCCCTCCGGAAGGCCCTCTCGAAGCAACCCTTGCTACGTTTCCGCCGGTAGTCGCCGGGCGCCCGCCGACGGAGCTGAGCCTACTCATGCCCCCTGCGGCAACGCCGCTGCCGGCAGCCACGGCAGGTGCTGATCCCGCCGTCCTTACCGGCAACCCCCCGCGCTGTTGCGCTAACTGCTGTGGCTGCCCAATCACGGACGACAATGATCGGGCGTACCGCCCCCCTCCTCCCGCTCCACTTGCGAGGGTAGTGGGCGCTGCCGCTGAGGAAGGGGAGCCCAGCGCCCTGCCTGGTGGTTGTTGTTGTTGTTGGTCCCAAGACTTGGGTGGGGACACCTGCGCCGCCCTTGGTTGGGGGGCCATACTTCTTCCCCCTTGCCAAAACGCTCCGTCAGCTCACTGCAGTGCGCGGGCGTCCTTGCCTTGTGCCTGGTGCTGCAAACGTGGGGACGGGCAAGCCGCGGTTGGGGGTGGGGTCTGACTGTATCTTGAAACTGTCTCGGCATCCAGAAGGCCATGGCCCACTCACAGGCCCATTTCCAACGGACATTTTGTCCAAGGTATCATCAACGTGCTGCGCTGTCAACTCACTTTCCTGCTGGATCGACTCTCAAACGGCTTACAGCCCGAGCGTCAGTTATACCCATAGCACCGTTACAACTACTGTACCAACGAGATCAACTACAGCAGTGGTGAGTCTACACGCGTAAGTAAGGCCTCGTCGATAACACTGCTGCAACTGTTGCCGCGTTCGCCCCGAGGTCAGAGATCACCGTCGGGAGCGGTGAAGAACAAGGCAGTTTGTTCTTCAAGTATACCAGCCATTCGCATCAGCAACAACCTAGGCCGGCGGCATACGAAACCTGTGGACTGGGGTGGGGCGCCCAACGGGTTCGTCAATACAGACACCGGCGAGATGAATTTTCGAAGAGACGCTGTCTGGCGCTGTCTGTCCGATCGTGACGACACCGACTTCTCATGCATAGAACAAGAGAACCTCCCCCCCCACATAGGTGTGAACATTAACGTGGGCAGAACGACCGAAGCTAGGCTTCCCCCCGCAACCACCGCCGCTTTGGGTGTGCAGAAGGCGCAGCGAGAGGCCATCTGGCCACCATTGTTGTACAACGAGCCTTCAACAACCGAATGCGGCGCATCTGTTGTTCTCAACATACTAACCTCTACAGAACGCGGCTAGCGTCTAATAGCAGACCCCTTGAACAACATCGCTACACACCCCACCACATAGAGTGCAGCGCCACAACCACATGTACTCAAGCCAAAATGATGTCAGGAGCTATGCAAGTTCAAAACACGTGAGGAATGTACATCTGATAGCCCCCGATGTCTCGTTTCCGAACATACCTGAACAAGAGGATACTTCTCGCTTCCCAAAGGCCAAGCAGCAATCCTTCCTGTCGTCTTCTTTTCGAGCCGGAAGGCGCAGAAAGAAGAGCTCCACACACAAGAGGTGCCTGTGTCTGTGTACCAGTCGGTGGCGAAGCTCTGAGATGACGCAAGCTGTATTAGACGCAAACACAAGCAAAGCAAGCACGCACGGAGTCGGGGGCACAACGCACAAGAACTTTTTTCGGGGTACAGTGTATCATCGTCGACACCGCAAATCGCTGACTCTCTTGCCTGTGGCACTCTGCTTGGTCAGCACAGGCAACAGTAGTAGTCCCATACACCGACGGGCAGGAGCGAGGATGAAGTCAGGAGCTATTGCACCTCTTGCGTTCTTCTGCGCTGTGCTGCTGGTACCGAAAGTCACTGCCTACATCCTGACATCAACATCAACATCGATATCAGCGTTGGTTGCGCCGCCTCATCGATGTAGCACGCGATGTCGGGCCCGGTCTTCGTCCACGATCGGGGGCAGTACTGCTTCGGACTCTGTCGGAGGTGCCGGTATCGAGCCTGCCGACGCAGCGAAACCTCCACTGAAGGTGACGGTGGAGTGGCATCTGTTTGCCCATCATGATACGCTCGGTGGGCACAATAATAAATGCTTTGCATGCAAACATCCATGTGCATGTACGCTGTAGACTACCAGGTTTCATGTTCTGTAATAAGACGAGTCTACATGTGCATCTCTTAGCTACATGAGGTGTAAAGTATGCAAACACACAATAAAAAAACGTAGACTATTTATTCTTTCCGCGAGACCATTGACCCCACCGGCGGGGTAATTTATTGTCCGCCCCACCGGTAGGAAAAATATACCCACCGGAAAAACAAGCCTTGTTTACCCCACCAGCTGTACCTCGCCTTCCGAGACTCTAGTTAGTCCACACAGGACATGAACGAGTGTGTTGCTGCGGTGCAGGAGGCTATCATGGGACCCGTCGTGAAGCCGGTACAGTTTTGGTGCAGCCATGGCCTGTGGGGTAGATACAGCTGCCACCCCAATGGTGGGGTACTGTAGATAGCCTGACTTACCCCTCCCACCTGGATCTCGCCCTACAAGACTCCGATCGACTCACAAGCAGGGTTAGAAGTGTGTAGTTGATGCACAAACAGCACGCAGCAGCGGCCAGCGGCTGACGGGGGCGTCAGGTGCAGGAATCCCACCGCAGAGCGCCAAACAACTCACTCACTCAAGTGGAAACCGAACCCGGCCTTCTCTCTTCTTGCAGAAAGGCTTCCTTCAACTACACTTCGTACCCCCTGCACTGCGTATCTTGCCCTCTTCTGCCCAAACGAAACAACCGGCACCTCCCCGCCGTCGCTTCTTCTCAGCCACGTTTTTGCACCGGGGTCCTTCCTCCAACAAGTGACTAAGAAGCAGCAAACGGTTATCGTAGGCGGGGCGGACAGCCCTCCTGTGATCGAAGCAGCAGCCGACGGCGGGGAGGTGCAGGTTGTCGGTGTGTTTACCTATCCATGCAACACAATCATTTGTTCCCTTTGCTTTCCGCGCGCGGTCAGCCATCGCGAACCGCGAAGGTGGAACTGCCTTCTTCAAAGCTTTCCCCGAAGAGAAGCATGCAGCCGTGTCTACCTGCCACCATCCTCGTCAAGCTGGATGCTCACACCTGCTTGTGTGCACATCATAGGTAGAGCTATATAAGGACTCCGGCTTGCGCGTTTCCAGGTGTCGGACTTCCGAACGCTTGACCGACGATTTGCGTTGTTGCTAGGATTTTGCCGTATGTCTTCGAGTCTTGATGGTTGTCGGTTGTTGGATGTGTTGGGCTTTCTTCAGTGCGCCTCTTTTGTCAAGCGAGTCGTTTGCAAGTACGAAGCAACTTCACCCAACGGACGGCCTCGACAACTCTCTCTCACTGCGCATTATGCATAGGTAATCCGAGGTCGCGCAGGGCCTACAGCCGCGACGCCCACGTACGACGACACTCGACCGTTAGATCGGATACTGCTGGGCCTGTTTCGGTCAAAGCTGGCGGAAGAGGTCGGGGAGGATGGCGATGCCTTCGAGCCTGGCTACGACGGTCTGATGGACATGATCAAGGTGTTGAACGAGAAGTTCCCTTCCAAGCGGAAGACGCAGGAGGCGTCCAGGTACAGTGGGAGGGCATCAGTAACACCGGTTGATTAGCGCCGGCGGCCCTATATAGCGCTGGTGAAATAGCTGGGCACAGGCTGAATCACCAAGTCAATGTGTGCATTGAATAGCACGGTCCCTCTGAATAGCGCGGGTCGATGCGCCGGGAACATACAGCCGTTATTGAGCCCCCCCCCCGCCCCGCCGTTTACCTTCGGGGTTGGGTTTTCGTCGCTTGGCAACGACGTTGTAAAACAAGCC